GGGCAGTGCTCCTAGGCTGTGTGCCTTCAGGCGGCTGACTCAACCTCTCAGAGCCTTGGCTTCCCCCACCCACAAGGAGGAAAGGAGCAGGGCCCAGGGGTAAGAGACAGGCAGACTGTGGGAGGGAAGGGCTTGAGGGATGGCAAGGCTGACAGGCCCTACATTTGGGAACAGAAGCCCTGGCTGCTGGGGACACCACTATGGCACAGAGAGTTAAGCCGCCACCTGGGATAGCCACATTTCATATGAGCACAGGTTTGAGTCCCGGCTGCTTCACCTCCCATCCAGCTCCTTGCTAACGGGCTGAGAAAGCAGCAGAGAATGGCTTGTGCTTGGGCCCCTGCCCCCATATGGGAGATCTGGATGGAGCTCCAGGCACCTGATCAAGACCTAGCCCAGCCCTGGCCTTTATAGCCATTTGGGGAGAGTGAGCTACAAGATAGAAGACTGCCTTTTCTCTGCTCACTTCTCTCTTAGGTTAACTAAATAAATCTTTAAGAAATAAAGTCCTGGCTGGAGGGGGGAAAGGACCCCCAGACAGGCAGGCAGGAGTGCCCTCCCGGTGTGCTTCTGGGGACAGAAGCAGTTTCAGGGCATCTATCCCCTAGTCCACAGCATGAGCCACCCCATTCTCTAGACAGAGATGTGGGGACCAAGGCAAAGCGGCCAGCCAGCTGAGAAGCCACCCCCGGCTGCACCGCCCCAGGCTGCAGCGTGCATGGGGCAGGGGGACTCACCTGCTCCGGGGCCAGGGGCAAGTGCTCCAGGCTCTGCAGCCTGCCCTGGACGTCCCGCATGTTATCCTGCAGTGCTCGCACTGTCCCCACCAGCCATGAGTCCAGCTCCTGGGGCCCCAGCAGGGTGCCCCCCAGCCCCTCTGTAGAGCAGAGACCCAGGAAGTGGGCTCAGGAGGCCGTCCCGCCACAGACAAGGAAGGGGCAAGCTGCTGGGGTTTGAGTCCCAACACTGCTCCTTTCTAGCTGGGTGACTTTGGGCAAATTGGTAACTTCTCTGAGTCTCATTTTATCGTCTGAAAATTGAGAGCAGATGTCACCTCCTAAACAGGGCTGTTTACTTAAAGGAATGAAGGAGACAGTATTTTACAAACATGCCCCTTAAAGGACACGCAGGAGGGCAGAAAGTGCCTCAGGCAGAACTCAGATGCTGGAGGCAGCGTTGTGGTACAACAGGTTAAGCCAATGTCCGTGGTGCCAGTTCAAACATGGGATGCTGCACTTCTAAGCCAGCTCCCTGCTAAGGCAGCTGGGAAAGAAGTGGTGGATGGGCCAAGAGGTTGCACCCCTGCAGCCACACGGGAGACCAGGAAGAGGCTTCTGGCTCCTGGCTTTAGCCTGACACATCCCCGGCTGGCGCAGCCATTTGGTGGGAGAACCAGTGGATGCAAGAGCTCTCTACTGTTCCTTCTCCTTTTGTAACTTCCCCAATGGAAGGCCCAGAGACAAGGGATGCTTTCCCAAGGCCACTGAGCTGCGGGTGGCAGAGCTGGGATAGGATTCACTCCCACCCCTGCCAAGAGCACACAGGCTCCTGGGGGCAGGAGGGCTCAGGGCGAAGACCAGGGCCGGGAAGGACTCAGCCCATCCAGGCAGTGATGTCGTTTGACAACCCTTACGGGACCAAGGCTGTACCCTGCGATCCCAGCGCTGGACTTTCACCTCTGCTCCAAGGAGGCCTGCCACGCCAGCAGCCCAGAGCAAGGCAGTGGGGTGAAAGGTCGGGCGGGAGCCCACCTTGCTCTCTGTGGGTATCCAGGCTGTGTTTCAGGGTGCTGGCAGCGCTGTCCTCTCCTCCAGCGGCTCCCCTCAGCTCCCGGCACACCTGTTGAGATGAGTCAAGGCTGCCAAGGTGGGGATGGGGGCACAGAGGCAACTGGTGGGGAGGTCGGTGGTCTCACCAGCTCAGGCTCCAGCTGCTCCAGCTGTTCCAGCTGCTCCAGGGAGTCACAGAAGATCTCAGGGTCCAGGTCTCCGGGTGACCGAGCCTCTGGGGGAGTGGGGGGTGGGGACAGATACGTTAGGGACAAGCAGGCTGTGGAGAAGGGCCAACAGTGAGCACAGGCACCTGCTCAGATGTCAGAGACACAGGGGATCCCAAAGGAGGCCCTAGAACAGAAAATGGGACGGGCGTCGCATGACACCCCTGCTTTGGGTCCGACCCCCTGTCCCTCTTGTCCCAGCACTAACCTTGGCCTGGAGGTGCTGGTTCCTGGGGTGGGGCAGGAGATACTGCGACAGCTCCCACCTCTCCATTTAGGACCTGCTCTTTCCGGCCTGTGGAGATGCAGCACCTGGAGGCAAGGCTGCAAGGGAAGGGGCGGGGCCCCGGGGAGACAGTCCAGGCCCAGGGGCGCTAGCCTGCAGCCCCTCTCCAGCCCACTCAGCACTTGCAGAGTCCTGGCCAAAGTCTCACCTGCGACTCTTTTAAGAAAGGCGTCCGGTGGCCTTGGCATACCGGGGATCACCTGGTACAGGGGCTCAAAGTAGCCAAACATGTCCTCTGCCATGTCGCCCAGGGGCACGGTGTCTATCACCTGTGGGAAGGGGCTCTATGGGCTGGGGACCCAGACAGCCGGGACTCACAGCAGCGACAGGAAGTGGTGATTCCCGGGGGGACTGTCCCGGTGAGAGTCAGCTGGCTGGTCCCTTGGGCTCGCCCACCTTCTGGGCCACCAGCTTCATCTCAGCGATGTAAGCGGCCATGGCCTCCTCCCGGCTCATCTTGCCCAGGCTGTTCCAGGCATCCCTGGGGAAGGGGGGCGCAGAGAGTGGTGAGAGAGCTGGCTGATTGCTCAGCCTGGCTTGCCAGCAGGCAGGTGAGGAACTCACCACTTGTATCGTCCAATAGGGTCCCAGAACCCAGGCCGGGGGACCGCACAGGGACCCATGGTAGCCTGCTTGTAGTAGCTGTAGAATTTCAGCATCTCCTCATAGGATGGGCGGTAAGAGCCTGGGCAGAGGGATGGGAAGTGGCGGGTCCTGTATCAGTCCCAAGGGATAGCAGAGAGACTGCACCCCCTCGACTCCCACCTTGAAGAGGGATCCCACCCAGGGCAACTGGGCCCGAGCAGAATACGGGAAAGGTAGGCCAGCCCAAGTTGGGCCTCGTCTGCAAGAATAGCAGGCGTTAGGGATACCTTCTCCGAGTCCAAACCCCCAGCGCCCCGTCCCCTAGGCGTGGGTGCACCGCAGCCTCACCGTTCTTTGGCAGGTTCTGAATGACACTGACAGCAGCGTGGAACTGCTTATGATAGTCTGGCCCCGGGTCCTCGTCTTTGGTGCCCATGCTGCTCCAAGCCTCGGCGGGGACAGGCCTCTGGGTCCAGCCGAATACCCCGCTTTTCAGAGGGGGCGAACTCAGCTCCTCAGCGGCCCGAGACGGACACCCGCGGGGCCCAGCGCTGCAGCCCAGGGAGACTCCTTTCCCTGGCTCAGGGCAGCGTGGCTGGGTCCAGGGTGGCCAGAACCGGGGTGCACGGAGAGACCACGGTCGCAGCACCACCCAGACCCCCCAGACGCGCCCTCCCAAGTGTCCATCAACTCCGGCGACCCAGCAAGAGAGAGGAGTCAGAGGCGGGAGGTGCGGCCTCCGGCCCGCACTCAGCCCGCAGTGCCCACCGCCCGGGCACCCGAGTCCTCTCGCGCCACTCACCCGCGGCTTCCCGACTGACCTCGGGGTCCAACCGGGTCGGGATGAGGACGCGGAGCGAGGGGGAAATTTTCAGCCAATCAGAGGTCTCGTTTCACATTCAGCTTTTACACTCTGGCCACTCAGCGCGGCCCTTTGAAGATTGTGCAAAGAGCCTCGCGGTCGCCTCTCCCAACCAGGCGGGGCTTGTCCACGGGCAGGACTTCCCATCCCGCGCCGGCCAGAGGCGGGCGGCAGCGCCTCCTCGTGGACACAGTGAAGCATGGCGGGCTCCTCGCGCCCCCTGGTGGGCACTCGCGTCCTGGGTCGTCAGGTGCCCTGGAGAAGTTTAAAGAATAAGTCAGGAGTAGGTCGAGGGAGGTCATTTCTGGAGGAAAGAACGGTGAAATCAAAAGTACAAAGCTAAAGGCTTGATGGTGAGGCAGAGAGCCCGGGAAGTCCGCGCGGGATCTCCCCACTGGGGGACCCTCTGGGACGGGTGGGGCGCAGCAGGCAGGTGGCACACCTAGGTCGTGAAAAAGGGAGCCTTCCCTGAGGGTCGCTGCGCGGCGGGCTGTGAGCCGGCTCTCCGTCCCAGGTTCCCGCACCTGCTCCAGGCAGCGGCCGCCGGACACCCCCGCGTGCAATGCAGCCGGGGCACGGCCGATGCCCGCGCGTGGACGCTCACCCCCGCAGGCAAGCTGCCCAAGCCTGCAGTCCCACAACCCAGGGTCAGGACAACAGACTGGGCGTCAACCCTCCCTGTCCCGGCCACTGAGAGGGGGCACGGCTGCCGGCCTGGCTTGGCTCGGGGCGCCATGGGGGGAGGAGGGGGCTGTCATCCTATGACGTCACTGCCAACGTCTTCCTGCCCACCCCCCGCCCCAGCCGCATCCCGCGTGGCTCTGCTCCTGCAGGCTCGTCGGCTCCGAGGACCCCTAGCCCAGGACCAGCTGACCTGCACCCCTGCCCCTGGTCTGACTCCCTGCGCAGCCCTCACCCTTGGAGTGGGGTCCCGGAGCCACAGCACGACCTCCCCCGCAATGGCGACCCCGGCCCCCACTGCGGGCCAAGAGCCGAGGGGCGCTCGGGCTGGGCGAGGGGAAGCGGGGGTACACCCGCGCCCAGCCTGGGGTCCCCGGCGCCCCGAGTAGCCCCGCCCCGCCCCCTGCGCCCCTCCCCCGCCAGCCCTTCCCCCGCCCTCCTCCCGACGTCTCCTCCTCTCCGCTCCCTCCCGGCGCCGCTAAGTTTCTTCGCTCGGGATCGCGCAGAGAGCCGGGGCCGGGCCTGAGCGGTGGCCCCGCTGTCCTGTCCCCGCGCGCAGGCTCCGGGCCCGGCCCCGGCCCCACCGAGCCATGCTGTGCGGCCCCTGGAGGAGGTGCCGCGGCCGGCCCGAGGAGCCCCCGATGTCCGCCCGGGTCGCCGCGCCCCTGGAGCTCCCGCCCTCGTCCCCGGAGTGCGGCGCCAGGAGGCCGGGGCTGCGCGCCCTAAAGAAAATGGGTCAGTGACGCGCTCGAGGGTCTGGGTGGGCGCCGCCGGGGGAGGGGCGGCCGGGACAGAAGTGTCCTGGCCAGCCGACCGCAGGCTTCCCGGACGGCGTTGGGTTTCGGGAGGCTAGGGCGAGACGCGAAGTACCAGCCCCGCCCCGCAATTGGGGGGTCGCAATTGGGGTCACCGGAGAGGTGAGCCCGGTTGCCCAGAGTGCTATTTCCCACCAGAACGCCTCCGCGGGGGCGGGAATGGGGTCCCTGAAGTCCCCTAGGACAGAGGAGTGGGTGCCAAAGACTTGGGAGGACCCTCAACGTCTGCCAGGGAATGTGGGGTAAGGTGGCGGCAGCAGCAGAGTCCTAGCAGGGGCACCTTGCCCTTGGGGGTCTGCCTCCTTGAACTTGGAGAAGACCCTGTGTGGGGGAGGATAGTCCCTATGGAGGGGTGAGCCTCGGGCACCTTGCTTCCCCTTCACCTTCCTGGGGCAGGTGGCATTCCACAGAGGAGGAAACTGACTCAGAGACAGCAAGGAATTTGTCTGTGACCACACAGCAGTGATTGGTCACCAGCACCCCCAGAGTTGTCAAGCGGGACTCTCTGGGTTGGAACCTAAGCACGTGGGTGGGATGCCAAGGCCCGCCGTGCACCCCAGGGCATGTGGGAACTGCTCTTGGGGTTACAAAGACTGGGCATGAGCCAGGGAGCACAGGGCAGGGCTGACCAGGCAGCTTCTGCAGGGCTTGAGCAGAAGTCAGGGGTCCGGCTGCCAGTCTCCCCTGCCCTTGTCTGACAGGTGCTGAGCAACACAGAGCTCTGTGCAGGCACTAGATCTCCGCCCAGCTCCTTGATCAGTCAGCCATGGATGCACTTAGATGCTCAGCGAGCACCCACTGTGTGCTCTGCCCTGGGGCTACCACAGTCAGTAGGACTGATACAGCCTTGCCCTCGCTACACACACACACACCCAGGAGGGCTGGAGATGAAGGAGCAGAGAGGGGGTGGATAGAGACAGCCCTGCTGCACCCCTGCCCCCGGCCAGAGGGAGACCCCCATTGACAAAGCAGGGCAGCCCCCAGGTCCGGGCACTCAGGCCCTTCTTGTGGAGCTGGGGACATTATTGGAGGATAGTGGGAGCCCCAGAAGGTGGCAGGCAGGCAGGCCAGGAGCTGAGGTTGGGGTAGACAGTACCAGGTGAAACAGGCTGAGGAGGCTGTTGGGAGATGTGTAACTGGGCAGGTGCAGCCGAAATGGGCTCTGGGTCTCCGAGCAGGTGCATGGAGCTGGCTCTGTAGGTGGAATCTGAACGGCATTGGGGAAGGACTGTACAGGGCAGACAGTCCCCCAGAGCAGGGCTGTGGGGGTCCCTGCCTGCACCTCCCCCAGGTGATGCCTCAAGGAGCACTTAATGCAGTGGGCAAAGCTACTTGGGAACACACAGGACAGCTATTACAGCCGAGTCCATTCAGGATGACTCTGTGGGGAGCTCTGGGTGTCAGCCGTCATTGCAGCCACCTCTTTCCTCATTCTGCCTGGTTCTGTGCAAGGAATGTTCCTGGGGAATATCCCTTCTCTACCCCATTCCAAGCCTGGGCACAGGGTAGAGCGGAAGCACCGACAGCTGTCCCAGGCCCAGCCCCTCAGGTCATGGGGCTGGGGAAGGCCTGGACCTATCGCAGAGTGGACCCCACCCTCCCGGGATGACCACCATCACCATCAGTGCCACACCCCTTAGGCTAACAGAACAGATTTTATTTGGGATCAAGGTGAGGAACTAGGGCAAGGAGTGGCTCAGAAGCGCCCAGGGGAGACAGAAGGCCTGAAGGGCCCTGCCATGGGGAGCCAGGGAGAGGAGCCGGGGGCAGGACTGTCCCCAAGAGGAGTGCCCATCTTGGGTCACCTCCCTCTCTCCAGGGCTAGGCTGCTGGCCTGGCTGGGCACAGAGGAGGCACCAGAGACCCTGCATGCGTTGTCACGCAGTGCTGAGCTCGCAGCCGTCCCTGGCCTACTTCATCCCGCCCCAGCCCCGGCCCCAGGGATGCTGTGTGCCCACCACAGAGGACCTGTAGGTGCTATGACTGCCCAGGGCCTCGTGTTAGGAGGCAGTGTCTGCCACTGATCCCTGATGGTGGCTCTTCCCGGCCAGGGTTCATGATCACAAACACACAGGTACTTTCTCAGTGCCGTGTCAAGCGCTGTCCATGTTTTACCTCATTGAACGCCCACAGCCACGGGGGCGGGTGGTGCCATTTGGTGAGGAAGCTGGATACTTGGCCTGGGGTTCAAAGTCATGAGGAGCTGCAGGATTTAAACGCAGGCAGTGCAGCCTGTGGTCTGTGCTCTTAGCACAACCAGTGATGCTGGGGCGAGGGCCGGGGAAGCTGTCAGCCTCCAGGCCCGTCCTAATGTGATGGCCGAGGAAATGCAGTCGGCCTTGCTCCTGCGTGGATTTCAGATAGACAACAGATCACCTGAACCATCCTTGACTGAAAAAAGTATTTGCTGTTTCCCTGGAATTCGTGTTCACCTATGCACTCAGTTTCGCTTGGCAACCTCAGAGTCCTGCCCCCACCCCTAATCCCTCCAGTGGGCAGAGCCCTGAGTGTGCAAAATCCTGCACTGTCCCCACCCTGCTCCACCCTGCCCCACCCTGTGCACACTCAGCCCTTGGGGCTGCAGCGCTGAGCGGATGGCCTTCCAGGGTGAGCGGGGTTACGGTGGATCAGGTTGACAGGCTGGGGGGTCTGGTGTGTAGGGAGGGCTGAGGCCTGGCCAGGTGGTTTCTTGGGGCCCCGGTCTGGCTTCTCCCCTCTCCCAGCTCTGCCCCGGCCAAGCTCGCTGCCTGTGGGGGATCCTGCCAGAGCACTGCCACCTTCCTGGCTCCCAGGATCCAGCTCCGGGCTGGTGAGGCCCCGCCCGGCTTTCTTGACCTGTTCATTTTCCAGGGGATGCTGCTGGCTCCAGCCTGGCAGTGGCAACGGTCAGCCGGGCACTTATGCAGTGCTGAGGCTGCCTGAGGGGTGAGGGCCGGAGGGTATGTGACGCTGTGTGTGTTCCGTCCTGCCCCTCTGCCTTGGCCAGGGGCTGGTGTGTCTGTTCCTTGCACGGGTCACATTCCTGCAGGAGTCCGTATGCCCTTCCTGAGTGAGTGCTGGCTGGCTCTCACGGCCTGTTTTCCTCCCCAAGCCGACCCGCCCTTCTCCCACTCTCTCCACCTCCCCCAACATGCCCTGCTCTCTGTGTGTGCACCCTGGGCTTCCCCACAGCACTGCCCACCCCGCCTGCTGCCCTTGCGTCCGTCCCCGCCTTGACCTGGTCTAGGGCAGGTGGTTTGGCTTCCTGCGCTCCAGGGGCTCAGCTGTGAAGAGGCTGGAGTTTGGGGGCTCCCTCCTGCCCACTTTCCTGTGAGGCAGGTTCCTGCCGCCGGCCTTGACCACCCAGACAGCGCTGTGCAGGCCCTAGACCGCATACAGCTGTAGCTGCCCGGGGAGGTGGAGGAACTTGGCCTTGCCCAGGCCTTCGCACCCCTGGCCCCTGTCCACGGGTGGAGATAAAGCCCTGGGCTCCGGGCCCAGCTGACAGTGCTGCGTGTGGCTGGCTGCAAGCCAGGTCTATGGGCGTGCCTGGCTGCCTTTCCCCTCCTGGGCCTCCATTTGCCCTCCCAGAGCCCTGCCTCGGTTTCCCTCTGTGTTATTGTCTGTGGAATCCTGCAGGCACCCCCATGTCCCCTCTATGGGGTTAGGCAACTTCCCACTGTTCTCCAGCACCCCTCCCCACCCATGCCACAGACCCATGCCTGTGTGGGACATGCCTGCGACAGGGTGACCGCCCGCTGCCCTGGCTATTGGCTCTAGGGCACATTCACTCACGGGACCTATCCAAACACACAGTCCTTTCTGGCATTTTACACTATTGAACTTGAAAAATGGTGGCTAAACCCATAGGACATAAAATGGATCAATTCAATCTTTTTCTTTAAACATGTATTTCTAAAGATTTGATTTTTTTCAAAAAGCAAAATTACAGAGAAGGAGAGAGATCTTCCATGCCTTGGTTCACTCCCCAAATGACTGCAATAGCTGGAGCTGAGTTGATCCGAAGCCAGCAGCCAGAAGCCTCTTCAGGTCTCCCACAAGGTCCCAAAGCTTTGGGCCATCCTCAATTGCTTTCCCAGGCCATAAGCAGGGAGCTGGATGGGAAGTGGAGCTGCTGGGACACAAACCGGTGCCCGTATGGGATCCCGGCATGTGCAAGGTGAGGACTTCAGCCGCTAGGCTACTGTGCTGGTCCCAATACCAACTTTTAAAAAAACATTTATGGTCTGGTGTGGTGGCTTTACAGGCTAGTCCTCCAACTTCAAGTGCCAGTATCCAGTATGAGTCCTAGTTTGTGTCCTAACTACTCTATTTCCAATATCCAACTCCCTGCTTGCGGCCCAGGAGAACAGCGGAGGACGTCCCTAAAGCCTTGGGAGCCTGCACCTGAGTGGGAGACCCAGTAGGTGCTGCTGGCTTCGGATAGCCTCAGCTCCAGCTACTGCTGCTGTTTGGGGAGTAAGCCAACAGATGAAAGACCTCTCTGTAAATGTCTTTCAAAAAAAAAAAGACTTAAAAACATGTTTATTTAAGGGAGAAGTTCATGCCCTAAATGCCCAAATGTTCACACTGGCAGGGACTGAGCGGGCTCAGAGCTAGGAGCCAGGACTAGTCTAGGTGACCTGTTGGGTGGCAGGGACTAAAGGCTTGAGCCGTCACCTGCTACTTCTTGGGGCCCCACAGGCTCGGGCTGGGTGGTGACCCCGGGCTCTCGGAGAAGGGAGGCAAGCACCTTAACCAGCGTCTTCCCTACTGCGCTAAGTGTCTGCCTTCAATCTCATCATTTCTGAGTGATTAATTCACCGGCATTCATTGCATTCATGTTGTTGTGAAATAGATAATCAGCATTATCTCATTCCAAAACATTTCCGACACCCTAAATGGTAGCTTCCTGCTCCTCTTGGCCCCGGGGTTCTGGCCATCCTAGCTCACTCTGTGCCTTCTGGGTGCTTTGCACCAGTGGAATCTGGCCATGCAGGTCCATTTGCGTCAGGTGCCAAGGCTTGGCACGTGGAGGTTTGGATTGAGTGACACTCCACTGCGTGTCTGGGCGTGGTTTGCTTGGCCAGTTGTCTACCCCTGTACCCAACTCCTACGATCGTCCACCCTCACTTCTTCTGCTGTTCCTTCGTGACTGTCCCCCTACCTGCTCAGTCCAGGGTGGCCATGCCCCTCCCCTGCCAGCCCACAGCCTTGGCAGGAGGTGGGTGGTTTGTGCACCTGCTCAAGAGCGCACAGGAATGAGGTTGAGGCAGCCTGGGGTTTAGGGCCCGGCAGGAACTATGATTGTTTCATGGATGACTGGGCAGAGGGCCAGGGACTCTGAGCATCAGTGCCCCAGGTCTGGGCCCTCCTGTGACTGGGTCACCTTCCTTCTATGGCTGCAGCCCTTCCTTGCTGGGCCCCTTCCCACCCAGGACTCAGGAGCTGGGTGCAACTAGAGGTGCCCAGCCTGGCACTGTACCCTCATTCCTCTGGGCATCTCCCTGGGGCCCGTGTAACCCAGAGGCAGTGTCAGGTGGGTAGACAGCCTGGTTGTCACTCTTCCCCCGCAGGCTCCGCAAGAGTGGAGGTGGCCTGGCCCAAGCAGGAGACTGCCCCCCTCACGCCGCCCCCAGCAGGTCTCTACCACTCACCTCTATTTCCGGCTTTAGTCACAGCCACCTCCCCCGCCTCCTACTGCCTTGGCTGCTGCAGGCCCCTGCTGAAAGTCTGGTTGTCAAGGCAACAAGTGGTCTCATTTCCCTTCTGGAAGGGGGTGTAGAAGCGGTGGGCCCAGCCGCTTCCCTGGCTGTCTTACCATCCATCCGAGTGTTTCTTAAAATTCAGGGACCATCCAGATCTTATGGGTGGTGAGCGGACCTGCCACCTGCCACACTCTTCGGGTTGGGGAGGTGACCCGGGGTCTGATGGGTGTAGTCTAGCCTTGGAGACACCCCCTGGAGTTATCTAGGGCTCCAGAGGAGACCACAGGGTCCTGAGGAAGGCAGCTCGCTTCTCCAGGCCCTGAGACCCCAATTGTCAGTCACCGTCACTCTCACAAGAGAAGTTTTTAAAAACAGACACCCAAGGGCCCAGTGGCCTGATCCCCAAGGTTGTTGCTGAAGCTGGTGACAGGGTGGGGCCAGGGCGGGCAAGGGCTGTCCACTGGCCTCTGCCCCAAGCACTGGGCAAGGACACAAAACCTGCTGCCCTCTGGTCTTAAAGTCCCCTGACACAACATTACAGGTGGAATTTTTGTCTTCACCTCCCCCCCCGCCAGCACCCCCTCCGCCAAAGCAAAAAAGCACTCCTTGTGGTCAGGGAGAAAAAACTGCCATTTGAGAACAAATCCAGGGAGGCTTCCTGGAGGAAGTGGTATTCGATGGGTCCTGGTTTGAAGGACTCAGATATGAGAAAGTGGAGGCAGAAGGGTGCTACAAGGGCTCAGAAAGACATGGGGGTGGGGGAGATGGGGACAAGGCAGGGATTTGGACTTGATCCCTGCCACTGGGCAGGCAAGGACCCTGGGGCTGCAGAGCCAGACTGGGCCCTAGGGGTTTGTCAGATAAAAGGAGGGAAGTGAGTCCTCAGCATGGTGGTGAAGCCACCACTTGGGGTACTGAGTCTCATATGCAGCGCAGAGATCTTGGCCCTGCTCTGCGTCTAGCTCCCTACCCCTGAGGGTGCACACCCTAGGAGGCAGCGGCCCCAGGGGCCTGCATCGCTGCCACTTGGCATGCCCAGGTGGAGCTGTGAGCTCCTGGCTTTGGCCCGGCGTAGCTGTGGCTGCTTCGGGCGTTTGCAAAGTGATTGGACATGTCTTTCTACCTTTCATATCAAATAAAAATAAAAACTAATAAATAAATAGGTAAATAACAAAGGGAGGAAGACAGGCCCACGGCCATCATGTTCTGTCAGGACTACATGGCGGTTTCTGGTTTGGGGTTTTCCAACTAGATTTAGGTGCCGTACAGCTTGAGATTCTGTTCCCTTAGAGACGCTGGGCCCCCCCATCCACTCCTGGCCATCCTCTTCCTCCCCAAGGGCGGGGGTTCACCTGGTTTCTACTGCTTCTGCTTTCCCTGCTGAGCATTTGGAGCAGGTCCTGCCAGGGCTCAGCCTCTCCCGGGCACGGGGCGGGCCAAGCTGGAGCAGAGCTGCCCTTTTGTTGAGTTCTGGAGCTTGTAGCCTGTGTGACTGTGGTCTCTGTTAGGGATGCAGGAAGGTGATGCTTAGCCAACCACAGGTTAGTGCTACCGGGCCGTGTCACTGATAGACGGAACTGGGACCTGACTTCCCAGACCCCAGACCTGCACTCTCTGCTACCCTTACCTCCTGTGGCTCTGGGGTGGTTGCAAGAAGCAGAGAGGGCAGAGGGCAAAGTTGTGGCAAAACTTCCAGGTAGCCTGCTGCCACCACTTCCTAGCTGTGGAATTATAGCTAGTTATGGAAGCTTCCAGAATTTCAGTTTCTTCTTGGATTAGCATGAGCCGGCCTTGTGCACACAATAGATGCTTTGTAAGCATTTACTTCTATTTTTTTTTTCCTCTTTAAGAGAGAGAGATAGAAAATTTCCATCCTCTGGTTCACTCCCTAGATGCCCATAATAGTTGGGGCTCGGCCAGGCTGAAGCTGGGAGCCAGGGCCTCTAGCTGGAACCCAAGCACTGGAGCCACCACAGGTGCACAGAGCAGAAAGCTGGACTTGAATTTGCCTGCCCCAGCATTGGCTTCGCTCAAAGGAGAGTGGGCACTGCAGAATGTCTGGGCTGAGGGTCCTGGAGAGCATGGCAGAGCAGGAGGCCAGCAGGACCCAGTAGACTGGCAGGAGGGCTGTTGGAGAGCAGCCAGCCAGGGCTGCAATTGGAGGCCTCGCCCACGGTCTTGGAGGCCAAGCGGCCTCTGTTGTCCCCAGGAAGTGAATGCTGAGAGTGTGGGTTGCACACTGAGTGGAGACTGGGAGAAGACCACTTCCCTGGCCATGGTTGCCTGCAGTTTCACTCCCATGGGTGAGAAAGCTGTTGGCCAACTGGGCTTCATGGCTGCCTCGGAGGGCAAATGCCAAACAGGTGATCCTCGGGCCTGAGCCCTGGACAGCTGCTGCCTGGCTGTTCTGCAGAAGCTGCTACTTGGCAGGCTTAGTGGTACAGCCTGGAAGGTGCAGTGCAGTTGTCTGGAACAGGACAGCCTTAACAACTGAGGCTGAACTGAAGAGAGGAAAGGACTGCATTCACTGAAGTGTGAGACTTGGGTTTGCTGGGCATGAGAATCAGGAAGTCCTGGGGAGGAATGCAGCCTGCAGGGAGGAGGGCCAGGCCCAATGGCAGGTGCTTGTGCCTCCCCAGGCCTGACAGAGGATGAGGACGTGCGCGCCATGCTACGGGGCTCCCGGCTCTGCAAGATCCGCTCGCGCACGTGGCACAAGGAGCGGCTCTACCGGCTGCAAGAGGATGGCCTGAGTGTGTGGTTCCAGCGGCGCATCCCGCGCGCACCCTCCAAGCACATCTGTGAGGACCCGCCGGCGGGGCGGCGGGGACTTGGTAGGGGGCGGGGTCCTCCCGGGCGGCAGGGACTCGGCCCTAACCCCTTGTCCTCCCCCCTGCACCCCCCCCCCCCGCAGTCTTCGTGCAACACATCGAAGCTGTCCGCGAGGGCCACCAGTCCGAAGGCCTGCGGCGCTTTGGAGCCGCGTTCGCACCCGCGCGCTGCCTCACCATCGCCTTCAAGGGCCGTCGCAAGAACCTGGACCTGGCAGCCCCCACGGCCGAGGAGGCACAGTGCTGGGTGCGCGGCCTGGCCAAGTTGCGTGCACGGCTGGACGCCATGAACCAACGGGAGCGGCTCGACCAATATCCTGAGCCACTGAAGGGCAGGTCCTGACCCTGGAGAGGGAAGCTCCTTGAAGTGGCCCAGACCTCCTGTGTCTAGAGATCCCTGTGGAGGAGCCTATGCGAGCGTGCCCATCATGAACCCCTGGGAGCTCCCAAAACCTGGGTAGGGGAACCTCTTTCCTGCTGCCATGGGTGTGGGGTGTGGGGAGCCAGCTGTCGCAGATCTTTCCTGAACACCCACACCTGGATCCACTGCTACTTGCACCGGGCTGACTCGGACCAGGACAGTAAGATGAGCTTCAAGGAGATCAAGAGCCTGCTTCGGATGGTGAATGTGGACATGAATGACATGTACGCCTACCGCCTCTTCAAGGTGGGTCCCCTGCCCTACCCTGCTCTGTCTTCCCTGGGGTCCCTGGGCCAGAGCACACAGAACTTTCCTAGCCCTCAAGCAGTGCTCAGGGAAGGTTGGCACCTGCCGGCCTGCTGGAGGCAGCAAAGCCATGTTCCTGGAAGGGCCGTCTCTACCCATGGGACCGTGTGTGGCTTGCACGTGGGAGCTCAGGCTACAGTGGACTTGTGCACACAGGTGCAGGCCCTCTTCCACACGTGACCGTGACCATGTGAGGGTACAGGCATGGTAGGGGGAAGGGGTCTACAGAGCAGGGAGCAGATGCCTGTGTAGGTATTGATCATGTCCAGCCTGCGAGCCTGAGATCCAGCCCGTGGCACCTGTCATTTGGCCATGTGGACTGCCCTGTGAATCCTCACTGACTGTGCGCGATGGTCTTAGTGTGAACGTATGGGAGGGACATTGGGGCCCAGGCACCCATTCCTGCTCCTGTCACCTGTCCTGGATCTCGATTCTAGGGCTAGGTCATGGGGCACAGGGACAAGCACCGAGCCCGAGATCTTCCTTTCTTCACCCATGAAGTTCTAAGTCTTCAATTAGTGATGGTTTCAATGAAATGGACACAGGTGTATGGAAATAGGCTGAAAATCATAATATAGAGCTTCCGTTTCCTTTATTAAGAGTGAAAAGGAAATGATTCTATAAATAGACATGCAAGGATAACACAGTGTCTTTTATATAAGGAGCAATGTTGTGGCTTAGCAAGTAAAGCTGCTACCTGTGACACCGGCTTCCCAAATGGGCACTGGTTTGGGCCCCACTTGCTCCACTTCCGATTCAGCTCCCTGCCAGTGCTCCCTGGGAAAACAGCGAAGGATGGGCCAAGTGCTTGGGCCCCTGCACTCACATGGGAGACCCAGATGAGCTCCTGCCTCATGGCTTTATACCGGCTCAACCCTGGCTGTTTCAGCCATTTGGAGAGTGAATTAGCAGATGGATGATGCCTTTCTCTCTGTAATTCTTTCAAATAAATACAGAGAAGCTGTCTTGTAAATAGGACACTGGACAAATAGCCTTTCACACGTTACAAAATACACAAGGAAGTGGCTTTAAGGACCTGTCCACAGTCATCCTGGGTGGGGTGGAGCAAAGCCTTCCAGGCAGGCTTCTGTCACGTTGTTGACAACACACTGTTGGGCTTGCATGTTGTGGCTTGTTTTGACCTCCTGGCCATTCTTACCTGGAGAATTCTCTGGCCTCCTGTCAGTGCTGATCGCAACTCGGCCAGTGTTGGAGTGGCACTACACCTTTCTTCCCCCAAGGCTTTCCTGTTGCATGTTGCATTGTCTTAGGTGTGCGAAGAAGCACGTGTCTCTTTGGCAATCCAACCAGCATATGAGCTCTGTCTCGTCTTGGCTCACCTATTTGTGAACAATCCACACATCAGCAATATGTGCCCACTCTCCTGGTGACCTGAGGCCTAGACTGCTGGTCACCCCTCACAGAAGCCAAAACCAGCCCATTGTGTCTACCACAGTATCCTGAGGTGGTTCTGGCCTTCTAGGACGCTTGTTTGGGATACAGTGGCAGAACCCTTCTGTAGGGGTTCAGCGGTGTCCCCCCGCTCCCCAGGAGTGCGACCATTCCAACAATGAGCGGCTGGAGGGGGCAGAGATTGAAGAGTTCCTGCGGCGGTTGCTGAAGCGCCCAGAGCTGGAGGAGCTGTTCCACCGGTACTCAGGCGAGGACCGCGTGCTTAGTGCCCCAGAGCTGCTGGAGTTCCTGCAGGATCAGGGCGAGGCCGGCGCCAGCCTAGCCCGTGCCCAGCAGCTCATCCAGACCTATGAGCTCAACGAGACAGGTGGGCGCTGGTGTGGTGGCCTTGGGTCAGCCTCTGACCTGCCTGGGCTGCACTGTTCCTGGCAGTGCAGGCACCATGATGTCGGGAGGAGAGAGGGCAGGTCACCTCTGCTCCTCCAGGCTCAGCTCCCACATGGGTAAAATGTGCGATGCCATGTCCTCCTTGGGGCTTGGCTGGAGATGCAGCAGCGTGACTAGGTGGATAGTCCGGGGAAACCTTGGGGGTACGCGGACAGTCCCTCTCCCTGTCCTTCCTTCAGCCAAGCAGCATGAGCTGATGACGTTGGACGGCTTCATGATGTACCTGCTGTCACCGGAGGGGGCTGCCCTGGACGCTGCCCACACCTGTGTGTTCCAAGACATGGACCAGCCCCTCACCCACTACTTTATCTCTTCCTCCCATAACACCTATCTGACTGACTCCCAGATTGGGGGGCCCAGCAGCACAGAGGCCTATGTCAGGTACTGGGGGTGGGCAAGCAGCTTGGGGAACGCAGTTTGGTGTGGTGGAGGGGGCGTTGGGGCCACCTGGGGCCTGCCTGGCTCAGCCTGGTCCACGGCCCTCCCCTGACACCTGCCCATCTGCCCTTGCACAGGGCCTTTGCCCAGGGCTGCCGCTGTGTGGAGCTGGACTGCTGGGAGGGGCCCGGTGGGGAGCCCATCATCTACCATGGCCACACGCTCACCTCCAAGATCCTCTTCCGGGATGTGGTCCAAGCCGTGCGTGACCACGCCTTCACGGTGCGCCCCCGGGGTCTGCCCAGTGCCCGCTTGCCTTTGACCACATTTCCAGGAGAGAGAAACCCCTGCAGGGACACAGCTGCAGGTGCCTGACAGCCGGCAGACACCAATCACTGAACAGGGGTTTGGAGCCAAGCTGAAGCAGTCTGTGTCAGCCATGCAGACACGGCGTTCATGGATGTGGCCTCCTAGCAGCTCCCTCCTGACAATGGCCTCTCCCTCACCCCTGCCTGTGCTGACTTGGGGGGGGTGAGGGGAGAGGAGGAAGAGGGAGAAGGGCTCTGAGCACTGCCCTTTCCCTTTTGCAGCTGTCCCCGTACCCTGTCATTCTGTCCCTGGAGAACCATTGTGGGCTAGAGCAGCAGGCTGCCATGGCCCGCCACCTCCGCACCATTCTGGGGGACATGCTGGTGACACAGGTTCTGGACCCCCAGAACCCCGAAGCACTGCCATCCCCAGAGGTGAGGACCCCCAAGAAAAAGCAGGATGTGCCTGTGGGTCCGGCCCCCACCCTGACCTCTCACACCACCTCTTTGGCTCACATTCTGCTAACCGCCCCCGCCCCATCCTCTCTGCTATCCCTCTCACCTCTGCCCCCCAGGGCTCTCCATTCCTGCCCTCTTACCCAGGCTCCAAGGCATGCCCTGCCCTGGCCTGCCTGTTCTGTCAGTGCAGGCTCGGCCAGTTCCATGTGCCTGCAAGGCCTGGGGCAGCACGGGAGCTCCCTTCCCAGCCACCCAAGCTTGTGGCATACCACCTGCCTAGAATGGCAGCTCAGCTGGAAGCCCCTCTCACTGAAGGCTGACTTCACCTCTCCCCTGAACCCAGGGCATTTAATCCACCCTCCAGGTGCCCATTCTTTTTGAACTCCTTGGGAAAATATTCCCCATACTTCCAATCACAAATACCCAGGGAGCTTAGACCCTCTTCCGCCCCTGCTGTATGTGTGCAACTTGGTTGTCATTAGTGTGAAAATCACACAGATGCGGTTAATTAAGCGTCAGGCTGCACAAAGGAAATACATGGAAAAAGGAAAAATGAGTTTTCCGTCACTCAGATCCCCCATCCTGTTTCACAAGCAGTAGCCCCTCTTGAACAGTTTCTCGAGTATGTCCTTCCAGAATTTTCTGATGCACACCCACACATCCAGACACAGCCACCTTCTATAAATGTCATATCCAAGGATGACGTGATTCCATGTTCTGTACACACCTCTTCCATGTCCAATCTTCATTTTTAAAGATTTATTGTTTTATCTGGAAGGTAGGGTTGCAGACGGAGGAGATCCGCTCCAGCCCTTCCCACAGTGGTGGTTGACTGACTGTCACTGGGGGATCCAGGGGCCAAGGCCTTCACCTCTCCCTCCTGGCCTCTACAGCAGCTCAAAGGCCGGGTCCTGGTGAAGGGCAAGAAGCTGCCGGCTGCCCGGAGTGAGGATGGGCGGGTTTTATCAGACCGAGAAGAGGAGGAGGAGGAGGAAGAAGAAGAGGAGGAGGCAGCAGAGCAGAGAAGGCAGGTCAGCAAGGACAGCCAGGCCAGCAGCCTGGGGCGGAGGGGGTGGCGGGGTGGCCAAGCTGGGTATTCCAGGATGGGGGAGGGGATGCGAAGGAGAACTGGAGGGGCAGGGGTGTCCTCTGAGTCTAGTCTCTCAGACCAAGCAGATCTCCCCGGAGCTGTCTGCCCTCGTTGTGTACTGCTGTGCCACCCCCCTGCGGAGCCTCGGCCCTGGCCCCGACCCCTCTCAGCCCTGCCAGGTCAGCTCTCTCAGTGAACGCAAGGCCAAGAAGCTCACCAGGGAGGCAGGTAGGAGTGCGGAACAACAGGTGTCTGGAGGCCAGAGATGGTGGGCGGGCGGCCAGCTCCTGGGGCGGGGTATGCAAGTTGGTCCAGGAGACAGATTGAGAGGGGCTTTGGGGGCCAGCCAAGAGGTTTGGAGGCGCCTGCGAGGGGCTCAGGGAGCAGGCCCAGCGCATGCTCAGTGTGGATGCTCCAGGTGGGGCTGAAGGGCCTGGTGCTGGGGTTGAGGTAGACGAGAGGCTCCGTCAGGCTGAGCCCGGGACCTGGGGAGCCCAGTAGAAGTGGGGTGAAGCCATGGAAGGAATCTGGGAAGGGTCCAGCAATGGGGAGTCATCAGCCTGGAGGGCAAGGGGGAGGGACTTCCATACGAGGAGTTAGGGTGCAAGGAGGCCTGGATGAGGTGTGGGCCAGAGGATGCGGGCGAGCGGGGTGTGTGCCACAGGCTCTGCTGTGGCGTTTGGGGGCTGGGTGATTGGAGGGCGCTCTGGCCCCTGTCTGGATTTGAGCAGGCCCATCTGTCTCGCTGGGTCGGGGGAGGGCAGGTGTTGGGAGGGGCCTGGAGGGGCCGGTTCCAGCCTCACCCTTACTCTGTGTAGGAAACAGTTTCGTGAGGCATAACATGCAGCAGCTGACCCGCGTGTACCCGCTGGGCCTGCGGATGAACTCGGCCAACTACAGCCCCCAGGAGATGTGGAACTCGGGGTGCCAGCTGGGTGAGTGGGGCTGCCCAGGGTGGGCAGGTGCAGTGGGCGACCACAGTGCAGGAGGGGAGCCAGCCCACCTTGTAGCCAACCTTGCTTGTTCTCTCCCTTTTTCTGAGGAAAAGGCAGAGCACACTGTGATTGATTTCCATTTAAAAGAATCTATGAATCTGTTGGATTTCAAGGCCACTGCAAAATGCATGGTCATTATGACAACAGATTTGTTAGATTAACGCGATATGAACAACAGTAGTGGGTCCCTGCATATGGTCCTAACATGACACTTCCCCATCATCCCTCTTCTTTTTATTAATTTTTAAGCTTTATTTTTATTGGAAAGGTAGATTTACAGTGAGAAGGAAAGACACAGAAATATTTTCCATCAGTTGGTTTACTTCCAAATGGCCCTAATAGCCAGAACTGAGCTGATCTGAAGCCAGGAGCCTCTTTCAGGTCTTCTATGTGGGTGCAGGGTCCCAAGGCTTTAGGCCATCATCTTCCTCTTTCCCAGGCCGTAAGCAGAGAGCTGGATGAGAAGTAGACTAGCCAGGACTTAAACCAGCACCCATATGGGATGCTGGCACTTGCAGGTGGAGGATTAGCTGGTTAAGCTATTGTGCTAGCCCATCTTGTTTTCTTTCTTATCCTTCCTTTTTTTTTTTTTTTCAAGATTTATTTTATCTTTTTTGGAAAGTCAGATATACAGAGAGTAGGAGAGACAGAGAGGAAGATCTTCCATCCGATGATTCACTCTCCAAGTGGCCTCTTCCAGGTCTCCCACGTAGGTACAGGGTCCTAAGGTTTTGGACCATCCTTAACTGCTTTCCCAGGCCGCAAGCAGGGAGCTGGATGGGAAATGAGGCCACTGGGATTAGAACAGGTGCCCAAATAGGATCCCGGCACATGTAAGGCAAGGACTTTAGCCACTAGGATACTGCACCAGGCCCCTGTCTTTTTTCGTAATCTTTGATAATTCATTCTTAATTTATGCTGTAGTCAGTCTCACGTCCATATGAAGGTAGACACTTCCACTCCTCTGGGTACCGCCCTCCTCTGCTCCACCTAGCAGCCCTACTACATCGGCAGTCACAGGGTCGACTCAGAGAACGCTAGGATCCCATGGCCACTTGGTCCTAGGTGTGGGGTATCCACAACCCCTTCTATCCCTTCTCCAGCCTTCCCCTTCAGTCTTGGGGATAGCAGTTCAGGTGACTGTGGGGGCTGGGAGACTGGGCCGGGGTGGGAGGGTGCAGACAGTGGGAGCCAGGCCCTCTGTGGTGAAGTGTGATCTTCAACACCTTTCTTCTGGACCTGGGCAGTCAGCAGAGGGCCTGGAGGCTCTGGTCTGACCCTCCCTGCTGTGCCCACAGTGGCCTTGAACTTCCAGACACCAGGCTACGAGATGGACCTCAATGCCGGACGCTTCCTCATCAACGGTCAGTGTGGCTACGTCCTGAAGCCCACCTGCCTGCGGCAGCCTGACTCAACCTTTGACCCTGAGTGCCCTGGGCCTCCCAGGACCATCCTCACAGTCCAGGTCAGCAGCCTGCCTGCATCAGGCCGAGCCTGGGGACAGGTTTGCTCTGGAGGGGCGGGTGCCCATGTACTGTAGGGGTAGGTGTGGGAGGCTGGGGACAGGGCTGGTGTTGAGGATGGCCGTGAGAGTGTCCGTCCATCTACAGGTGCTGACTGCCCAGCAGTTACCTAAGCTGAACGCTGAGAAGCCCAACTCCATAGTGGATCCGCTGGTGCGCGTGGAGATCCACGGGGTGCCAGCGGACTGTGCACGCAGGGAGACCAGCTACGTGCTCAACAACGGTAGGTGGGCTGGGGGCTGAGACCCGGTGGGCTGGGGCCACACGGAGGGCAGTCGGGGTTGATGGTCACATCTCTGCCCTAGGCTTCAACCCCCACTGGGGGCAGACCCTGCAGTTCCAGCTGCGGGCCCCTGAGCTGGCACTGGTCCGCTTCGTGGTGGAAGACTACGACACTACCTCCCCCAACGACTTTGTGGGCCAATTTACACTGCCGCTCAGCAGCCTGAAGCAAGGTCGGTGAGGGATGGGCTAGGGTCAAAGAGGGGCGAGGGCTGGTGGCCTCCCAGCCCAGGCATGGGCCCCTAGGGCTGGATATGGTGCTGAGGCCTGACTGCCCACCCCACAGGGTACCGCCACATCCACCTGCTTTCCAAGGATGGAGCATCCCTGGCTCCCGCCACGCTCTTCGTCCACGTCCGCATCCAGGGCTCCTAAGGGCCCATGTGCCCCCTGGCTCTGCTGAAGGAAGGGGGTGTGCATGCCGGTGTTGGTCTCACCCTGCTGTGGAGGCATGCCTTCTAGGACCTCCCCATTGCTGGGGCCCGGAGCTGGCCCTGATTCCTCTTGTCCTCTGTCCACCTCCTTGTGGCAACCGGGCCTGTTGCTGCCAGCCGCGGGCCGGGAGCAGGACCCCCGGGAGCCCTCAGTCATTGCAGCCTTGTTCCCCCGCCCCACAGTGGGCAGCCTCCTCTCCACATAGGTTATCTTCCAGCTCTAGAACCCACGTCCCCTTCTCAAACAAGGGGGAACCTGAGGCAGGAGCCCAGAGGGAGGATTTTGTGTCAGAGTTCTGAAGAAAACAGAATGAGATGATTGTGAAAAATAAAGGCGATTGAATTCACCACTTCGCCTCCCTGATGCCACAGCCATGGCCCTGTGAGGGACCCAGCTGGATAGGGAGAAGGGGTCCCTGGGGCCTCTCCCCAGCTCAGCCCGTACTCGCCCAGGATCCTGGGAGTGGCAGGAAGAGCTGCCGCAGCTCAGAATAGCTCTGACCCCTGCCCTTGGCCTAAAGCTGCTGCCAGCATTACAGGGGTGCCAGAGGACACCAATCACAAGGTCACGCTCAACCCCTCCTCCACACACACATGCATGTACACACACGTGTACACACACACACACACGTGCACACACCCACACACGAGGAACCTCAAACGGGACTCCAGACAGACCCCACCTGCCAGGACAAGTGGCAAGGACATGGGGTTCCCTTCTCCCCAGTCTAACAGCTTGTGCAGAAGGCAGCCCACAGGGCCCTGGCATCTCAGGTGTCTGTCAGGCCGCAGCACTTGCTGACAATCCCTGAGGTCAGCCTGGAATTGGCTCCCTCAGTCTCATAGGAACCAAGTCTGGGCTAAGGCCATTTTCTTGCACCCCTGGGACCTAACGCAGATTCTAAGAGTGGTATCTGGTTCAGGTGCTGATTGAACAAGGAGGTTCAGTACCCAGAGGGGCTCAGAAGGGATAGGCTGGGCAGCCCAGGCCCCTGGTACTCGGGCTGTAAGGGAGAGCTGGGCAGCCAAACGGTGACCTCTTGGCAGGAGGTGTGGCAGGGCCGAGTGGTTTTAGTGCACAGGGAACTGTAAGACTTGTCTGTTTCGGTGCTGGTGCCAATCAGGTCCTGCCTGGGGATGGGTTGGGTGCATCCCAGCCCCAGGGCTAGTCCCTCTTCTAGCTTCTCTTCTCCGGGCCAGAGTAGCCACAGGCAGGGTTGCCAGAGTGAATGAGTGCCCCAGGCTGGGAGAACTGCTTTGTGAGGGCAAAAGTCTGAGCTGAACATGGGGGAAGGTGGAGGCCAAGAACCCACAGCGGACACCCCCTGCAGGGCTGTTTTCTCAGCTCAAAGCTAAGGGCAGGGATGAAGGCATGGGTCTGCAGGAGCCAAGGTGCCCAAGGTCAGGGCTAGAGGCCCAGGTCAGAGTCAGCTGGGCTCAGGCAGGCCCTGTGTCCTCCCAGGTTCCTTGGAAGGGCAGAAGCTACAGGACCTCAGTAGAATCAAGGGGCAAGAGATTCCAAAGGATGACTGGGGGCGACATGAAGGCTAAAAGCTGCTCCAAGGCCCACCCCTAGCAGAGCTGGGTCACCAGCCGGGCCCCGGGCATTCTAGTACCACTTGCTGACCAGAGGAAAACCAGGAGGGCAGAATGGTTTGTTCAGCTGCTTCCTTTATTAGAAACAAGTGAGATGGATTGAGCAGAATAACAATTCATTTGGTATTTCTCCCCCACCCCCTATAGCCCAAAGAAAAGCCAAGACAGGGGTGCCCCTCCCTTCCCCATTCCTGCCAGTCAGTCAGTATTGAGTTTAATGGAGTGAACTTGTCCTAAACCTCTTCCCGAAGCAGACCTGCCCCGACTCTGCAGTGGCCCAAGCCGAAGCCCTGGGTTTCCTCTAGGGGTTGGGCCCCTGGTGGGCTCCTCCTCTGACTAGTGAGGTCCTTGCTCACTTCTAGATTGCAACCAGCAAAGCTGTCCCAGGCCTGGTAACCCTTAGGCAAAGTTTGAGCCCACAGGGATGCCCAGCTCCGGGCTTCAGGGAGCCAGTAAGTAGCAAGTGCAGTGGCAGCGAGAAGGGAGCTGCAGGCAAGGCCTGGAATCTTCCAGAAGTAGCTTGATGTGGACCAGCCTTCAAAGCCAGCATCTTTGGAAGCAGGCATGCAGGGAGAACAGGCCTCACTCAGGAACTCAGCTGGCCCTGGGGCCTCCATTCTGCCCAGCTCTCTCCTGACACCGAGGCCAGAGTCCGTGTGGTCAAATGTGGAGTCAAAGGCCGGAGGGAAAGGTCATCCTGGAAACATGGCAGCCAGGAGGCCCAGGTGGCCCAGGCTGGGGCAAGGCCCAAGGTGGACTTCTAGCAGCAGTGGCTTGAGGTGGCTGGGGCAGGTCTCAGGCCCTGGGCCCTTCCTTCGCTTGGTCTAGGCCAGTCATGGAGCCACCATCCTGCGGAGTTTCCCACGGGGAAACCCTAAACCCCACTGGGGTGCTCTCTGGCCTCAGATTTCACATGGCTTGAGTGGAGAAGCAAGGGGCTGTTTGGACAAAACCAAGACAAGCAACAGCTGCCAGCTGACTTCCGGGGAGTTCAGGGCTCCTGTTGGGACGGAACAGCAAATCCAAGGAGCCGACTGGTAGGTTTTGGTGAGGGAAGATGCGGCCTCACTACTTCCGTTCCCTGGGCTGAGTCCCCCCAGAGCACAGCTGCCTCCAGGGCCTGTGCAGCCCACATCTTGGGGGAAGCCTGCACCAGGATGTGGCCCAGAACTGATGAAGACCAGGGCAGGGAGCCTTTCCAAGTTCCAGCCCCATCCAAGGTAGGAGAGACTTGGGCACTTTGTTGCAGATACCCTCACAGGTCTCGCCAGGGCAAGCCACTCCGGGACTAATGCTGGTGGGGCCAGAAGGTGAGTTGCTGCTTCTCCACCAGCTCCCATCCTTGGTGTGTGGGGCACATCTCACAAAACAGCTTCTTTGGTCTGGGTATCTTGGAGCCAAGGAGTCAAGGGCTGGCCGGCGTCAGCTGCTGGTGGCTGCAGACTGTGAGCAGGGCCAGCAGGGAGAAGGGAGGCCCGTCCAGGCCTGGCAGTGTTGCTGGCTCCCAGCAGTCTGCAGGGGGGGGCGGCTTTCCCACGGCGCCACCGAGCAGCTACAGCATTTCCTCCAGCTTTGGGGATTCAGCAGACAAGGGCTCTGGCAAACCACAACAAAACCCTACAGGCTGAAACGAACCCTGCTGGCCTGCAGCGTGCCTTCTGTGAGCGGGACAAGGCTGGCCTGGCCTCCTGGTGCAGGCTTCCTTCCCCTACAAGAAGCTGAGAGGTGACAGCAGCAAGGAGCCCTCCAACTCCCACGCCACACATCATGCTCTGTGCTCACTTGCTTGCTCCTAGGGCATAAGTTACATCAAAGCCTGGCACAGCCCAGTCCTCCTGGGGCCATGCAACTGAACACAATCAGAGAATGCTCTGTGGATGGCCACGTGACTGGCTTTGATTACTTGCTGGGAAACTAGCAGCAGCAATAACCATCACTACCACCACAGGAAATACCACAGCATGGCATCAGCAAGCGTTAGACTCGCCCATGGCACTGAGAAGTCACTTCCACGGCCAAGTCCCTTCTGCCTCTGTTCGCCATGTCAGCTGTGGGGCTGGGAAAGGAGCACAACGAGCTGTGTGAACGTGCTGGAAGGCACAGGCTGGGGCCAGGGGCTCCAGGGATCTGAGCCTCGGCCCCAGGCCCCCCCTGATGAAGCAGGGGGCGGGCTCTCTGCTCTCTCAAAGCAGCTCAGCGGGGCTGGCACTGCTGTGGTCTCAACCAAGGTCCCAGATGCTACAAGGAGGTCCAAGGTCCCCTCCAAACTGCCAGTGACCACAGGCAGTGGGAAAGCAGAATCGCACACAAGACCCTTGCATGGCGGGTTGGCAATAGTTGGCTTGAGGTCTACCTCAGCTGGAGGATGCTCTCCTCCAGGGAGTAGGCTAAAGGGACGGGAAAGGGATTCAATTCATGATTGTCCCCGCCACTCTGCCTCAGGAAGAGCTGGCCCTGCCGAGGGTCAGCTCCCCGCCCCGCCCCCAGGCTCTGCTGCCACCTGCTGAGGGCTAAGCCCTCTCCAGTGCTGGCAGGTTCCTCCATGTGTCCTCCCTTCCCATCTGTCCCTGCCAATTCCCAAAAGGAACTGCAGGGACTTCCCAGGTACTCTTTCCTGCTCCCCAAAAGCCACTGCCTGCTTAGGGAGGACATTAAGGAGCTGCACCAACATGTCTACCTGCCACTGTCCTGGGGTTCCAGTCGTGAGCAATAATCTGGATTCAGCTTTTCATCAGAGACCAAACATCCTTGTACATTTGGAACATGAAAGATATTTAAAATATTTATATATATATAATATATATATATACTTTTATTATTCACCCGTTAACTCCATAATATGCCAATCACGAGCTAGTTTTCAGCAGTTACACTCCCTTGATCACGCTGCACGAGGAGGTGAGTAACTGGAAAACAGGGAGACCAGAGACACAGCCACGGTGACATCACGCAGCCTACGCCACAGCAACACAATTGTCGAGTTCGCTGGCGATTTGGTAAAGCCGGTTCAGTTCTCTTCCCTTAGCCAAGGAATCTCATGTTTGTGAAAACTGGACCAACAAGTGGTGGGGTTCCGTTTCCTGGTTTGACTTCTCAGTGGCTTTATCCAGAATCTCCCCAGCACCTGGTTACTGTAACACCAGCCCAACCTAGGAGAGCCAACAGGGAGAGGTACGGCTGAGTGGACGAGCGTGCAAGGAACCTCCCACATTCCCCACTTGGTCCTCACGTTCTGGCTGGGCCTGGCCGTGAGCAGGTTCACAGAGCCAGGCCTCTCACTCAGCCTCCGTGCCAGCATGTCTCCAGTGTGTCAGACCCTTCAAGCAAAGCCAGTCGACACCCTGAGGAAGACCGGGCCTCAGGGAGGGTCCTGCCAATGCTGACTAGACCAGGCTGGGCTGCATGCACGGCGGGGAGAGGAAGGGTCACACCGGGAGGAGCAAGGCT